CAATGAGCAAAAGGATCACATTTCCTTTGCTGGACAGCTTGATTTCCCTCTACTGAGCTTCATGCAGTGAAAAAATATGAAGCGGAATGATATTTAGCAGCAGTGTTTTGATCAAACACAAAGTTAGACAGTTATAAAACTTGGAAATCTGTCAGCTATTATCATATCCTTCCCTCTCCTGTCCACAGTTCTACCCACAGCTGTTCTGTGTATTAGAGGTGAATCCAAACCAGCTGTCATTGAAGAAGAGTGCTGATCGGGGGCTCATTGCCACTTACATTCATCATCGGAGCCAGCCAAGCTCATAAAGGCAAGGATACAAGAGTTCGTACAAAATGTTTTAAACGATCAGATAAAGAAATCTAAGATCTGACATTAATACAAATATTTAAAATGTTTCTAAATGACCACGACTAAAGCAAAAGTCTGTCTTCTTTATTAAGTTTGACTTTACCATATGTTGAAATTGTATATGCTATATAATATATGATAATGTGTCCATTTATAACGGTTTTAACTGGGGCGGGGGGGTTAAGCTCTCAGTCATGAAATGACTGTTAATTTGAGAGGATCATATGAAGAAAACCGTCTATGCTGCTGGTTAGCAAGACCGGTCAGGCACACAGAGTATCAGGTGTGTGTAAGAGCTGGAGAAAAGAGGTATTTTAAATTTGCTTCATGGCTTCGAACTACATTTGGATATCAAGCTAGTGAACAGCATTATTTCCCCTTGCATAGGAAATTTTAATATCCCATGAATATGGAATATCCTCATTACTATATTGTCTGACATAATGCAGTACACCTTTATTGTCAATTCTGACTGTATTTCATTTAGAGTGACAACTTTTGGCTACAAGGATTAGCAACTATGTTCTGTGTGTTAGGGTAAGGGTTTCATTTGTAAAGGACTAATTAGTAAATGATTAAGTCATTATATGTAGCTGAATTAGTATTCCATCCTTTATTTGATATTTTAAAAGGGGGTCTTGCCTGTAATCAAAAGTATGGAGAAGCATGTGGATAAGGAAAAGTTTAATTTGTTCCAAATTGTTAAATACTGTATGTTATTCTGTATGAATGACCATTTAAAATGAATACATTAAGTCTGTGCTTTAAATGCCAAGTAAATTATGCTGCTAGTTAAGCTTTTGAAGATAGCAAACAAATGGCATTTTTTTAGTCTATTTCTTTTTTATGTGTAAGATCCAATGGCCATAAAGTACTCAACTCTATAATATTGAAGCTTTCTAAACTAACTAATGCTTTCTAGTTGTAGTTGAATCAAATATTTTCCAGAATACTCAACATTCACAGATGTCCTGTCTTTGGCTTTCCACAAGCCATGACAAATTTAGCAACTCTTTTTTTCCCAATTTGGTCAAAGTCTGGTTTAACCCGCAAATATCAAGAGTCAACAGGAAATTCTGCTCCTTAAAGATGGCTAAAAGCACAGATACTCACATGGAATTACACAAGTGCATCTTTTTTCTTCTTCCATCATTTTTAACATTCCTATCGATTGTGCTATGATCCACTAAAGAGAAATACGAGAAGGATTTTATTCCTTTTATGGAGGTCCAATATTATTCACTTGCTCATGTTTTAATACCTTTAGTGTGACAACTCTTAATTTTTCTTAAGACTATTTAATAGATTATTGGACGCTGACATGTGAAGTAATGGCAAATTTCTGAAATTCAGCTTGTGACAATTAAGTACAGACAGATGGCTTGGCACCGCGTTTTACAACTAAAGGTCTAATCCCTGGCTAAATCAATCACATCCTATCCATGATCTTTTACGAAGATATCACATCTCAAAGAGCTCGTCGAGAGTTTTATGGACGTGTGTAAAGACAGAGGCGGGTGGCTGGTTCTTACACGGGCAGAGCACTCTTCTCCACCCGCTGCAGCTCCAGCTGCCTCCTCTGGTCGTAGTCTCTGGCTCTGATCTCCCACACGTTTCTCATGATGGAGGCATCGCAGCCCACCACCTCTGCGCTCTTTTCACTGCTCATCTCGGAACGCCTTCAAACCTTCTGCACACACAAACAGGAAGATTAAAAAAAAACAGTTCTCATCGCTAGTACGTCCACATTTTGTCCGCTTTTTGGGAGGAGAGCGTTATCCAAACGTGTTCAGAGATGAGGCAGCTGTACCTTGGACCGGTGATAATCCCTCCGCTGTGGATGGAGGCTCTGCTGACAGCTCTGCTAATACGCGCTGTCTCTCAGGGAGACTTTAACCTGCTATTGGATATTTGAGGGGCTGTCCAAACTAAAAATACAACACCCTTCAATCCGTGCACGCACAAGCACGCAGAGAGAGATTTACTGCCTTCAAATGAGGCAGCACATAGGCAAAGCCACTGTAGTTCATACTTAAATTATTTATATGAATATTTATCTTCCCTACAAAGCATTGCTAATTGCCATAAACACAAAAAAAGATATTTTTGGGTACATGCTTCAATACTTCTGGAAAAGATATGGCATGTTTACATCAAATGCTACAAATAGATATACATATGACATACTAACATGACATTTTTAGATCTATTTCATCATAATAGCATGTGTGGATTAATTAATTAGGTAGGATTTTCTACGATTCTCTCAGCTCTACAAATACACTGCATAAGCAAAGTATTTTCTCACACTAACAGTCAAATTCTTTCATCATTGCCCGGCTCACACAAAATAATACTTCCATGTAGCTGCAACCTTATCGGACTTTGTGAACGATGACCATGCAAAAAAAGAAAAAAAAAACTAGGACAGTTGCCATATCACTATGCAATGCTTTTTTTAAAAAATCTTTCTGTGTCAATGCCATACAAGAAGAACCAATTCAAATCCATTTTCTAAACTCAGTTGTTTGTGCTCAGATAGCTTTTTGAGATTGTTTATTCTGAACTATGAATTTCGTCTCTTTTAAGAAAGCCAAATGTGAGACCAAACATCTACAATTACTTGTGCTGCAACTGGTGGGGATTAGTGGATGGTGTAATTAGTTTAAGTAACCTAATTTTTTATTTGTGACCAAGATGTTTGGTGAATTAACTTAAAAGAAATTATCAGATATTGTGAGGATGATGTCTCTTTGTTCCATATTCTGTCTTCTTTTTTTTACCTTTAACTTGCAGTGCAGCATAGTTACATAGTTCTAACCTTTATTTATTGTCTATCATTAAGTGTGCTACACAAATTTCTAACAAAAGGCTCTTTCCCTCTTTTGTCCTCCACAGTCTTATTGTCACAGACAGTTCTTTTAAACTGCAAATATTGCCCCCAAATATATGATGCCTAACCCTGGCCATGTCATTTCCATGGATTTAAAAAGCCATAACGTTTTTTTTTCTTGGACATCATTAACTTTAGGGGATATGAATATTCACAACAAAGTCTATGTAATTCCGGTCATTTTTCTATATATTTCGTTGAATGAAAGTATTGAGTAAAAAAGATGAAAATCTCTATTCTGAGGCTTACATACTCAGCCAGTTTAAAATATTTCTCGAGGGCAGTCATCAGATTCTGAGATCACTGACTGCTGAGCCTAAATTTGATCCCACAGGCTGCATGTGTTATTTGAGGTTTAACTTTTATGATGGACATCTCCACGGTGCGCTGTAAGGCTCACACCTCATTCCATAAATGTTCAGCTGGTTGTACAAAACAGCGTGATGCAAATGTCGCACACGACTGACAGCGCCTAGCAGACATCTAACCAGCCAAAAGAAACTGTGTTTTCCCTCCTTAACAGATAAAGGACATTTCCCATCTGCTTTTTTACTCTGTGCTTCCCGAGTGGAAGCCTCTCTGACACCTAACCCTTGAAACCTTACCTCCATCCCTCTCCTTGGATGTTCTCCCCGGTCTGAGGTGTGATTCAAATTCTCCTCCACACATTTAGTGTGCAGATTCTGGAAATGCGCAGTCCAAAAATAAAAATGGATCCACCAAAATAGAACCAAAGACAGCATACTGTGTGACGACGACTTTGTCAAAAGAACCAACGATGCCCAACTTTTTCTATCTGCTTGAAATTCTGATATTTAAAGTCTTCAGGACATGTAATCAGTTCA